AGACCAACTGACCCCTTAAGTGTTTACGAACTAAATGAGTATCCTCTACAACCTCAAATTAGAACTTAAACCCTTGTTGCCAATCAACCTATATGCATTTATAATTAATTTAAAAGGAATTGAGCATCTCATTTTATATAGTCAAATGCATCATTTTGGACCACTGTGCGTTACTGCACTCAAAACTTTAATTCGTATTTGTGATTTCCAGTCCAAATTCAAAAAAAACAATCATAAGTATGTTTTAATCCTTCATAAATAATGTAAGATATGATTTAAAAATGAATTTGAAAAGTTCAACTAATCCGAAATTGAAAAATCCTACACTGCGCTGCTATTCGATCCAAAATAGCCAAAAATTAAACGATGTTATTTTTCAATGAAATTTCATACATACTCAATTAACCTTATTTAAGAATGATTATAAAATTTATTTTTCAAAAATACCCAAAAATCGAGTTAAATTGGCCCCGGAGGTTAAAACAGTCACTTTAATCCTCATTTTAATCCAACCGTCAAATCGACTTAAAATTTTTCCAAGACCCCTGCACGGACGTTGCAGAACTTTTGGCACTGACCAGAGGTTGGACGGTCACTCATGCACTGTCGGGGTGCACTGGTGTACCTTCTCCTCCTTCATCTTCTTCCTTGATCACCTTGACCAAATCCCTAGATTCTTCCCACCAGCCCTAATCCCTCAACTTCTCACCCTTATTTCTCCCTACTCAGTATACCTTTTCACCTACTTTTTAAACCTATACACACTCTAACAAACCCTATAATTCTCAAGCTTAGAATTAAGCTTAAACCCATAAAAAAGGTCAAAGTTAACCAAAAATAAGGTTTTTAGTTTATGGCTAGACCTGCAACTTGTATTTTAACCATCTTAACAATTCTAAATTTATTTCTAAGGTCACCAATGGATTCCTAAGGTCCATTTTAGCTAGGAACAAACTTCCCTCCGAAGCTTAACCCCCAAAATCAAGAGATCAAAAACCCATCATGGTCGAAACTTTATCACCACCACCCCCACCACCTCCAACCATGACAAGCTTTGAAATCACCATCAAAGTACTCTTCTACCTCCCCACAATACTGCCATGCGAACCAATTTACCAAAATGACCTCAAACTCAAAACCCATTTCATAAAAACCTAGAACTAAAAAATTTAAAATATAAATTCGAGCAATTGTAGTATATGATATGAAATTCTAATGATACCAGGGGATTCCTACCTCTCAAATTAGCCTAGTAGCATACCTCTAATCGTTCGAAGTAGCCTCTTTCACAAATTTTTCTCTCTCTAACTTCTCTTTTCTCCCTTTATCTCTTGGCGGTTCTACCTTATCCAGAGGCCTGCTGAAGTCTTGAACACCTCCTCAAACACTCGGGAAGCTTGGAGAAGGTGGGGAAGAGCTCTTCAGCTGTCAGGCAGTAGCCATGCCATGCAATGACATTTTCGTAAATACCTTAAATCTATATTTTTTTTATTTTTTAATTTAATTTTTTTTAATTACATACCTAATAAATCATGCACTGTAAAAATATTTGTCAATATTTATTTATTTTTTATTTTTTTTAAAATATTTTTCGTACATATGCATGCTCGAGTTTTACACTTTGAGCTGAATAAAGATTAGCAAAGAATTGAACAATCTCCCTCTCAATTAAGGTCTCATCCTCCACAATCAAACCTCTATCAAGCTGCAGTTTGTCAATGATCTTCTTCACCTTTTTACCATTAGCAACCCTATGATTATGAAAGAACTTTGAATTATTGTCACCCTTTTTCACCCACTTTACTCTAGACTTTTGTCTCTAACTGACATTTTCTTTATGAACCACTTGTTCAAATCTATTCTTAAGACCTTTCCTCTACTTTCTAAGAGCTTCATCCATACCCCTTACTCCTTCAAGCCTATCAATTTCCCCAATCTTATTTTTAATAATTCTTTTAGATTCTCGAATATATCCAAACACCTTTTTATTCCAAACCTTCAACTTTTGCTTGACAAACTCAAGTTTCTTCATGAGCTTAAACCCTTTCCACATTTGAAACTCCACTTCAGACTACCATTCCTTAACTTTCCTCTTAAAATCCACATGCTCCACCCACATGTTCTCAAACCTAAATGGACAATGACCCCATCTAAACTTAGAATCCTTAATGACAATAGGGCAATGGTCTGAAATAACTCTAGACAAAACCTCTTGTCTAACACCAATTAAACAATCCTCCCACTCAACAGTAAATAAAAACTTATCCAAACGCTTGCATACAACCTTACTTCTAAAATTTGACCAAGGTACCATTTGCTAAAGGAGGATCCCTAAGTTCAACTTTCCTAATAAAAGTATCAAAATTCCTCATACTTTTATTTGATTATGTGGTGAGACTCATGCCACAGTTGTCCCTTTTTTGCTCAGTTTTTAGTGATTGTCTGTGAATAACTAGTGTAGCAGTTTGCCAATTTTGATGCCTCTTACTTGATAGGGCAAAATCCTCCGTAATCCTAATCTTAGGTTCGTTGCACTTCACCCCAATCTCATATAAAAATAGTCACATAATCCTCGCATGGTTTGTGGATCAAAGTAAAGCTACTGACTTTATCAACTGATTGGCAAAAATTTCCTTCATACCTCATAGTCACCACTTGCACATACATCCACTGGCTGATCAATTCCCACTCAACCCAAATTTATTCAATCCAGACAAATTTAATCAAAAATTCAATCCAAATCGATTGAATTGAATACAAATTCAACATGAATTCAGTCCATATTCATTCTTCCCAACACAGTCAACAAAAGTTCATTTAACTTGACACATCAATATCCTCCCATACAACTACAAGCACACATTATCTGAATTGCATGAGAAAAAGGGGTTAAGGATGAGGAGGGGGAAGATGTGGTGCCCTGGAAGCTATGGGTCTCCGGAGCACCAATCACCACCAGCAACAAATTCAACAACCACCACTTACATTGCTTCTCATGAAGAGAGAGAGAGCGAGAAAGATATCCATTAAAGCACAACACTTTGCAGAACATCCTAACCACCACCCAATTTAGTAACTGACATCATCACCACGTGTAGAACATAGCAGTGATAGCACATTGAAGCACGTCGAAGACTGCATGACTCACCCATCCACCACCAGATTTAACAACCCGCTCTGTCAGTTGTTATTATTCTATACCCAAACCCTCCATTGGAAATTTTGAATTCTACCAGTTAAGGTCCTTGGCAACTCATCCAAGAACGGGACTTTTTTTGTTACCCTAAAGACAAGAAGCTTTTTTTAACAAATGATATCGGACTTGTCCGTCTAGCAAGACTCAAGATTGCTCTTTAATATTTTTTATCACAACAGCAGCATAATAACCTGTCAACCCAAAACCAATTGTGAATGAAGTATATAAATCAACTTTAGTGGTCCTAAATCCTAATTATTTTATGTGGGATATAAGTTCTCTTAATGCCCTCCCTCACATGGGAGCTGTGGTTGCATGTGGGCTCAACAAATATGCATACCGGAAAAATCAAATGGCTAAAAGACTTGACCCACTGACCATCCAAAGGCCCAACTGATACTATGTTAGAGCATTTTACCCAAAACTAATTGGCAATAAGTGGAGTGACCCTTTAAGTATATATACCAGCCTTGATGTTCCTAATGTGAGATACAAGCTCTCTTAACATAATCTTTCATGTTCAAAACCATTAAAGACCTGTCTCTCTCAGTATCAATAATTAGGCTCTTCAAGCACTGTCAATTGAAGACTAAGAGGCTAACAAAAAAAGGATGCCATGGTGCCATGGGTGTCACTTATTTGACTTACATCCATTATATATTATTGATAAGAAATATTTTTGATTAATTGATCCATGCAATGGGGGCATTTATTGAGAGTAAAAAACCAAAAGGTAGGCCAGTGTAGAGAGAGGGAGACATTTTATCATTTTAAGGAGTTGCATGGGTATTTTTTGTCTTTTGACACATCATTTTTGGAGGGAAACAATATTTTTTATGCCAATCCTTCAAACAGGCGCACGTGTTATAACCATCCTCAAATTGTTGAACATTAGTTCAAAACCACACGAGTGTTACATGAGTATCTTTGAATAAGAGGATAATGAAGTGCAATGGTGCCTAATTGCCTGGGTAAAGTGAAGTTTGTCCTAATTTAGATATTACTAAGTTGGGCATATTTCTTAAATCATTTAAATAATTGGAGTGTCATGGTAATTATTCAGCTGTCATCCATGGCAGTGGTTATATGTTTTGATGCAGGAGCTCATATTGCTAGATTTCTCTTAAAAATCTTAAAGACAATGAGCTGGGTAGTTAGTATTTAGCTATATAACGTTTTGTTTTGTGTGATATGATTGCCAAAGGTTTCAAGTACTTAATGCTGCACTCTCTGGTGCTGTGTTGCACGGTGCACACTCTTGAAATGTTTTCACTTACCCAAAACAACGCAATTAAAAATGCTTATTTTTTATTATGCTCTCCCTTAGGGAACTAATGCACTTTGTTAAGTTTAGAAAATGTAGAGAAAATCAAAATAATGAGAGAGATGGAGAGGAGTATATTAAACCCTACCTCTCACTCTCAACTTATATTTATAGTTACCTAATGAAAACATAAAAGACTAGTATTCCCTTATAGAGGTATGCTTATTACAATCATATAAAATGGTGACAATATAATGGTAATACTCTCAACACACTTGATATGCAGTAAAATTCAGAAATGATTATCTTTTAAAGTATTCCAATATTATGATGAAAGAATTAAGCACTGTGACAATATGTGTGTCTCTTCTGCCTTATTATTATTGTAAAAGTTTCTACTAGTAACTTAACATTTATAGAAGTTTCTACTTGTAACACATCATTTACAAAAGTTGAATAATGTCTTAATTTTTGTGGCCCTGTTGGATTTTAAGTTAGAAACAAACAAGGGGTCCAAAATTAATTGGTTTTAGATACAGTATGTGTGAACCCCTACCGAGCCTCACTTTTTGTGTTGAAGGTGCTTGCCTTAAAATGTGAGGCTTAGGTGTCCTTGCGCCTGCACTTAAAGTTTTATATAAATTGCTCAATACACATTATATCATAGTTACTTATTGAGGTCCTTATCCTACACGGACCTTGTTTAGATTTTTTCCCCTTTTTGTTTTGTTCACTGCTACTGTATCTTCTCATATACAAAATCTTAAAATTGACTCGTTTATGACAGGGAGCTTTATAGTAACAACATAAGTGGACCAATTCCTAGTGATCTTGGGAATCTTACAAACCTGGTGAGCTTAGATCTGTACTTGAACAGATTCAGTGGTCCAATACCAGACACATTGGGCAGGCTGACGAAGCTGCGATTCCTGTATGAATACCGTCCTTCACCACTCTTCTTTACTGTTGTCTTTTGTTTGGTTACTGCTTCATTGCATTCCTTTTATCGTTCATTAATTGTCCATGAGAAGTTTTTAGCTTGTAAAGAAATAGTTATATGTTTGAACAGCTATATTTCATTATGTTTGGGCATGTGGCATTTGGAATCTAATTTTTGTTCATAGAGCGACATCAAAATAAGAAAAGATCACCTTGCCTAGCATAATAATGCAATACGTTAATATTAGTGCTATTAGGTTGAATAGAACTAAAAAATATAAAAATAAATACCACAAATTATCATTATTTTGATAAATGTAGCATTGCAATGGTGCATTGCCTATTGCCAAAGATCAGGATGTTTGCCAAACATACAAAACTTTCAAATCGAAAACTCCATAGAATTGTGCGTAGTGAGAGAAGTGGATACTTGCAAGTTACCTTGCCTGGACACTTTGCTTTTATGCTGGCAAAGTTACCTATCTTGTAGTAGGTAGGTTACCATGGCCTCCTGAATAAATACCGAAAACTTTTATTGGGACGCACTAAATGGTGCTTAATTTCCATATTCTCTTGACACATAGAGGTGATTTATTTAGGCATTGCATGTAATGTGTTATTTGATATACTTGTGTGTACATATATTTAACTAGGTATATACGCATGTATGTGTGTATGTGCTGCCATCCTATTGTATGACGACTTTAATAGTGTCTCTCCTGGTTTGTCCAAGGAAAGTCGGCTTAACAACAACAGCCTCTCTGGTACAATTTCTCTGTCCTTGACTAATCTTTCGGCTCTTCAGGTCCTGTAAGTGTCTAGATGTTATCCTTTCTTTCAGAAAAGTTTGGCTCATTGGTGCATCGTTATGATTTTGCAATGTGGGCCGCAGGGATTTATCAAACAATCGATTATCAGGACCAGTTCCAGACAATGGATCATTTTCATTGTTCACTCCTATCAGGTTTCGTGCTCCTAATTTTTGTCAACCTTTTTTGGTGCTGAATGAAATGTTTGGCTAATTTTCGATAACCATTTGCAGTTTTGCTAATAACTTGAACTTATGTGGGCCGGTCACTGGGAAACCCTGTCCCGGATCTCCTCCATTTTCGCCACCTCCGCCATTTGTTCCACCATCAACAATTGCATCACCAGGTGATCATTGTTGTTTGGAAATGTTTTCATATTGTTATGGTATCTGACTTGAACCGGAATTGTGGTAGTTTTGTGTTCAAGTTTTTGTGATATGAAAAATGATGTGTTTGTTGATCACCAAAAGGGTTCAAATACATTTATCTTTCTTTTTTTTGAATGGATGTCATTTTAGGAGGAAACACTGCAACTGGAGCAATTGCTGGAGGAGTAGCTGCTGGTGCTGCTTTACTGTTTGCTGCCCCAGCACTTGGGTTTGCATGGTGGCGCCGAAGGAAACCTCAGGAATATTTCTTTGATGTTCCTGGTTTGTTTCTTTCACTCAAAAATGCATTAATGTGAACATTTGTATGTGGATTGTGTTTTCACTTGGTGACATCTCTCCCCAGCTGAAGAGGATCCGGAAGTTCACTTGGGACAGCTTAAGAGGTTTTCTTTGCGAGAATTACAAGTTGCCACGGATAGTTTTAGCAACAAAAACATACTTGGTAGGGGTGGATTTGGTAAGGTGTACAAGGGACGCCTAGCTGATGGTTCTTTAGTAGCAGTCAAAAGGCTTAAAGAAGAGCGCACTCCGGGTGGGGAGTTGCAGTTTCAAACTGAAGTAGAAATGATTAGTATGGCTGTGCATCGGAATCTTTTGCGACTGCGTGGTTTTTGCATGACACCGACTGAACGGCTACTTGTTTATCCATACATGGCTAATGGAAGTGTTGCATCATGTTTAAGAGGTACTTTATTTCGAATGTTTTTTGTTCTGCAAAGTGGCACAAACTGTTTGGCTGTGTTTTGGAGAGGCTTCATTCTCCTGCTAGTTGTGCTGTGCATTTAGGAATAATGACCCAGTCACGACATACTACATATCATCTGAATGATAATATAGCATGAAACTGACTACATCTAAAGTGACACAATTCTCATCTGGCATAAGGGAGAGATACTCCTTTTGGCGTTGGTATCTGAAAACCACTGATAATGTTGTTTCTCCCAAATTCTTGTAGAACGTCCACCATCGGAACCACCACTTGATTGGCCAGCTAGAAAGAGAATTGCATTGGGATCTGCAAGAGGGCTTTCTTATTTGCATGACCACTGTGACCCTAAGATTATTCACCGTGATGTGAAGGCAGCAAACATCTTGTTGGATGAAGAGTGTGAGGCTGTGGTTGGTGACTTTGGGTTGGCTAAACTTATGGACTACAAGGATACACATGTTACAACTGCTGTACGTGGCACCATCGGGCACATAGCCCCTGAGTATCTCTCCACAGGGAAGTCATCAGAGAAGACTGATGTCTTCGGGTATGGTATTATGCTCTTAGAGCTAATAACTGGACAGAGGGCTTTTGATCTAGCTCGGCTTGCAAATGATGACGATGTTATGCTGCTAGATTGGGTACGTACTGATTATTTTCTTATGGGTAAATGCAACTTCATTATTTCTTTATACAACATTGTGGATATATCCTTGATGTTATGGTTCAAAATCAATTATGCTCACTGAAATTATTGATATTCAAAAAAATTACAAATATGTGTATTGATGCTATTTATATCTCCTAACTAAAATACTTTATTTGTTGAGTAGTTGACTGATCTCAAATGCCTTGAAATAACTAAACACACTAAATATACAATCCTTTGTGCCTAAGATGTCGCCCGATGGTTTCACTCGCACACCTTTTGAGAGCTTACTCATTTGATGAACGTGAGCCACCCCATTCATTGCCAATTAATTGGGAGTTGGATGCTTTAACACCATGTAAAACCCATCTTCAAAATGGGGATTAATTTTACTACTTATTCCCTTGTAATCTCAATAAATGTTGATCAATTAAACATTTTGGTGAAATTTTCAAAGGGTTTTTATAGGGTGAAAATGCTTTGGCAGATTTTACTCTTTGGAAAAAGATATATTCTTAGACATTGGTAAAATGGGTAAGCTTTTATTTTAGAAATAGGATTTTACTTCGGATAACGATTAGAAATTATTTGACAACCCTAATTTTCATCTAAATGTATTTGTTACGGTTTCTATGTTGAAGTAGTTATTTTGTTTGGAATTTTTAATTTTACTATCTTTCACTTATATGAAAGTATGCAGTATCAACGTAATTAATGCTTGTTTCCCATGTTTTGGTCATTTCTTATTTTTTCCCGCTGTTTGTTCTTTTTTTAACTTCCCTTTGTTTATTTCATGTTTATTCTATGTGGGAAGGCTACACAAGAGAGAGAGAGAGTGAGAGAGCTCTTTGTCTGGTATCATAAGCTTTGTTTATCAGTTGTTGTTATCGCACAATGGGAATTTTCTTCATAGTCATCTTCTTGCGTGGTGAAAAGTTTGATCCGCATGTGGTTTGTATTTTTTATCGTGGATGGATTTTGGATGAATTAGAAGAAAATTCCTCATGTTCTGGTAGCAATTTTTCTAAAACTTATTGTTCTTGTTATATTGCATACCCTATATTCTTTCCAATAATACATTTGTGTAACATTTTGACTGTCAAGGGAGTCTGCTTCCCTTTCTACCAATCACCCAAGATATTTTCGGGAGTTTAATTGTTGTTGCCTGTGGTGCAATTTGCAGCTTCTATAGTAGGCCAGTCAAAATTTGACACGACACGATTAACCAACACGAATTAAACGGGTTTAGATGAGACCTTAATGAGTTTGAGTGGTAAACGGGTTGACCCGTCAAACACATTTAATAAACGGGTCATGTTCGGATTAGACCTGTTAATCTGTTTATCACCCGTTTACTCCTTTAGATAAATTTAATATAATAATAAATTATATATATATATATATATATATATATATATATATATATATATAAAATAATAAATTAGTAAAGAAAAAAAAAGTAAGGACAACAGTACTCAGTAGGAAAGTGAAGTAAGGCATTGAATTACCTTTTGACCCTTTCTTTGAATCCCAGATCGACACAAAGAATGGAGGGGGAGACTTCAGTTGCCTATAATAGGCGGTGTGCTTCTCATTTTGGCCAATCTTTGTGGTGTGATTTCACTTGAACTGTTGGTTGGAACTCCTCAAATTGAGGAAAGTACAGTTGGAAGCAAAAAAATGGTGTAAAAATTTGGTAAAATAATATTTATTTTGTTATTTTGTTTTAAACGGATTAAACGAGTCGTGTTGTGTTACTCATTTATTAAACGGTTCGTATTCGTGTTAAAATTTTTTACCCGTTTATTAAACGTGTCGTGTATGAGTTTATATGTTTTTCACCCGTCACTCATTTAACCCGACACATAACCGTTTAACCCGACACGATTGACACCCCTAGTCTATAGTTAATGGTATAAAGCACCGGTGCAAATGAGTGGGAATGATTTGTTTTTTTAATAATAAGTGTGGGAATTATTTGTTATGTTGTCTCTACACTATATACCTTAATCTTTTAATACGACATTGCAAATGATGGGGGCTTACCACATTTTCCTCGAAGCACATTTCTGTAGTTATAGATGTTGCTTGATCTAGATACACAATGACTGGAGGGGAGGGAGGATGCTGAAGCGCTGTTTGAGGAGTGCCCTGAGCTTGAATATACCTATGTCCTATTGCTTCACACCTTATAATAGTTTGTTTTCTAGAGTCTTGTGATTCGTGGGTCATTCTCTAACCAGCAGTGCCAAAAAGACTTTAAATAGGCGGTTTTCGATTGATAGGAAAATTGGCTAAGAGGAATGCCCAAGTTTCTCTATTAAAACTAGTTTTTTGAATTAATTTGCTTAAAATAACTCAGCTGATAGTATTCAGCTTGATACATTGACCAGCAAATCTGTATTACAACAGTTTGTAAACGTTAGGTTTCTTCCTGGTACTTTGATTAAGAAATTTAAATCAAATGGACTTGGATTGAATGTGCTTGTCTCACAGAGACCCAACTTTATCTTCATGTGAATAATGTATAACAGTAGCATTATTTGGTATGCACATTGTGTGATAATTGTAGTTGAATTTCATAGGAGCTTCCTAGCATTTAACCATTTGAGATATCTTTAATCCAATGTTGCCTAAAAACTTACAGTACGCGCCACATAATCTAATTTAGATGAAAAGCCTAAGGAATTTCATTCAAATCTTTTCAATATTTAGGTTAAAGGCCTTTTGAAAGAGAAGAAGTTGGATATGCTGGTTGATCCTGATTTGCAAACCAATTATGTTGAAGCTGAAGTGGAGCAGCTAATCCAAGTAGCACTGCTCTGCACACAAGGCTCCCCGATGGATCGGCCTAAGATGTCCGAGGTTGTAAGGATGCTTGAAGGCGATGGTTTGGCGGAAAAATGGGATGAGTGGCAGAAGGTGGAGTTCATCCGCAAAGAGATTGAATTGGCCCCACCTCGGAATTCTGAATGGCTTCTTGACTCCACTGACAATCTCCATGCCATTGAATTGTCTGGTCCGAGATAACGTTAATTACAAGTAGAGAATGAAATTATTTTCTGTTTCTTTTTTTTTTAAATCTTGTTTTGCTAGCCTTTTATTCTCCTGTAAGTCCATTGTGTATCCAATAGTATTTGTTGCAATCTGTGCATATGAATCTCACTGATGATCCCATGTCCTGGACTCTGTGCCGCTAGCAGTTTCTGACCTTTCTGTGTGGCACAAGGACCAAGAGCCCAGGAGAAGCATACATGTTACTATATGTAATTCTCAGGTTCTGTTTAAATTGTAATCTGAGCAAAGATGTATTGTCGTAGGATAAAGATGTATGATCAGAGGGGTTTCTGTCATTTTAGTGATTTTCTTTCCTGGACATTTCACTCCATGCAAACATTGGAATTAGTTTTCTGATAGTGTCAAGGTGCATGTAAAATTAATACAATACACCTCTGGCTATTCTTGCTTCATGCTTTTACGTTTGTCGATTATGTCGTTAGGGGTTCTCTCTGATTGCTTAAGATTTTCAAGGATATCGTTGTCCATAATGTTATGGTGTCAAATTTTGCAGTGGCGGGAATCTCATTCATTGAGCACCCAGGCCCTCTATTGGTAATTTATATGCTTCAGACTGTATGTCAAACATAACCGGGACCTTATCTGTCAGGGTTCCATTTTGATTCCCCAATGTTTGGAATGTGACTGCCTGAATCTTGTCTGGTTGTTTTTGTTTCAAACCAGAAGATATCCCCGTGGGAGTTCACATGCTATGCCTTACATGAATTTGTGCTTTAAAGAAGCCAACTTACTCTGCATGGACAGCCCATTTTGAAGCAAAGTGTAGACTTGGATGTTTTGGGTTCTAATTCTCGCTCTGCAAGTTTAACCAATAACCACACGTGTGGTTAGCTTATGATTTGCATGTATTTAAAGTTTCGTGTGCCAAAAATCAAAAAACAGTAGCCGATTTACGAAAGGAAGCCATGGCAGTGATACACCATGAAAGCCGTTTGAGAAGTCCAAAGACAAGGATGGATATATAGAAGTACTGCAGCCAACTGCTAGTCTAAACTTGCAATTTACTACGTCGATAGAAGCACTTTGTTGGTTACATGTAAATTGGTTGATATACTCGGCTAACTTCCAATGGTCATAACTTTGCGCTCCGCCATAAGAATCTGTTGTAAGATACAAGGTCCACGTATAACTTTGTACTTAGTTTTGTACTCACCTTTCATGTGTAAGGCTTCTTTTGAGACCAAAAAAGAAAAAAAGAAAGAGATTCAAACAACCACTTTTTGTCATTTAATGGTTTGACTTAGGCGCAATAACCTTTTTGAATAGAACTATGGCTACAACCGTGTTTGTTCTCTAGTTTTCATTTGCATTAACAAATTGCTAAAGCCATGAAATAGTGGTACGGAAGTACTCAAGGACCCACTCAATGATTGAATCTGCTTTGTTTCAGTCTGTTCAAATTCTCCAGAATTTGCAAGATACACTCATTTGATATCTTCATCTAGTTCATAACCCCCAAACCTGGTCTAATCCACAAGCTTCCTTGTGGGGGAGGAATCAAAAGATAAACTTGATCGAAAAAAATTGGACTTGAATGCTAGAGAAACCTCAGGACAAAAGAATGGAAGAGGAGAGTGAAAAGCCAGAAAGTGGCTTCCAATCCTAATCATATATGCTAAATCATGTTATGATCTTGCTCACTTGTGCCTGTTTTTGTGAATTCCCAGGACCCCATATTCGAATGGTCTTATCATCGCTTGCTGATGCCAACATCTGAGGTCGTTTCGGGTTCCAACTCACAGAGTTTACAATTGCTGAGTGGCCACATAGTACTTCCAGGGGCTCCCCATTTTTCTGATTCCATATGTACACCTACAACAAGAAAAATATAGAGCTCGAGACACAACTTAGGTATAAGTACATACCAAAGAAAAAAAAAATATTATAGAACAATTGCGGAGCATTTAGTCTCAGATCCTGCTAATACGATAAGTCTATGGTTAAACTCCCAGTTAGTAATGCAAACCTTGAATGCATGTAGTCATATTTTAACCATGTGAATCAGATTTGTTGCCCTCAGTTTTTCCAATTTTTTTCCAAAATCAGTTTGGTTACAATTTTCTTCCGATTTACTACTAACACAGTTTTGTAAGACAAATCAGGCTGGTAAATTTCTTAAAGTTTCAACACTAAAAGTACAGAGACACATGAAGTTTTGGAAGGTGAAAGTACCCGAGAGTCCTCGCTACCACTGGCGATGAACTTGGATTCAAGCCCTCCAATGCAGGAATGGATTACATATCTTGATTGCCTGTGGCCTCTATATTTCAATCGTGTAGCGACCATCTTTTCAATATCCCATAACTGGATCTCTGCGCTGTTCAAATTCAGTATCAGATACTTTCCATCTTCAGAAACACAAGTTGAAACAATTGCTGCATCCATCGTGAAACTCCGCCAGTGACCAGCTTCAATATTCATCACTGCAACTTGTTTGTCTGAAAACATGAAAACTATCTCTTTCCCATTTGGTGTCACAGCAAAGTTGATAATACTATTACTGGGATTCCATCCTCCTGACCATGAGGTAAGTATCCTACTGTTGGGGTATCTGATCCTGCAAACATGATTCACATATCCATAGCTTCCAAAAAATATCCCTTTGTCATCAGGTAGCCAAGCACATGAGCTGAAAGCAGGGCCAAGTCCATTGATTGTATGAAAATGTTCTCCTGTGGAGACATTCCATAGCATGATTTTTTCTGCATTTGCACAGGTGAGTAATGTTGCATCGTCAGGACTCCATGATAGAAAAGAAACACCAGACTGGTGGCCGCTCAATGTGTGTCTCAATGTCAGGTTCCCATTTTCAGGTACCTGCAACATTAATTCAACAGTTGTGCCATAAATGTAACACTCAATGAAAAACTGCTCATTTGATGTTCTAAATCATGGCCATAAGTTTGGATATAAGAAGGTTTTCTGAACGTAAACAAACTCATAAAAAGGGTAATAAACATAAAATCTCCTGCCTCTAGCAGACTGAGAACAATGCAAAAGGTGAGAAGTACTTGTTCCAAGTGTGGTGAACTTGATCAGAGAACCTACAGAAAGATAGGGCCAATCAAAAGGGAAGGAAGAATAAAATCATAATGTCCATAGAAATCGAAAACTGGAGATCAGAAAGATACGCTGACTAAAGTGTTTCCATGAGCAGTAAGCAGCAGATCTCCCTTATTTTGGGAAAGCTGGTGATCTTTTTGGATTAAAAAATGACTTTGATGAATAAGAGAATGAAAATGTTACCTCATTCATCGAAATGTGAAAATACATATATTCAAAAACATTGCTGTAGATGACATTATATGCAAATACCGAATCATTTTGGATGCAATTAGCTAATTGCACACAGGAACAATCGCAAAACACGCTCTCACTACCTACAATTAATTACAGACGTTCTCAGTATATTATTACACTGAAGTCTATGAATTATGATTCTGTTTTGTTGGTGCAATCAGTTATTGTAGGAGGGCAGCTTCTTATATTTGGTCAATCAGTAACTAATCCAGTTTAGCATTTAGGCACTTTCTGGATTTTGTGAAACCAATCATAGCCATAAATCATTGGTAATCCAATTCTATTTCTTAGATAAAGGTATGATTTCTACAGTTCATGGCGGAAAAGTCATAGCTTGTCTTGCTCATCCAATTTAGGGATCCAGAAACGCTTGACGATTAGGGAAATAGAAATTTCCCTAATTACAAATTGTTATGATCACAAGTTAACTGATATCAAAGTATACATAGCATTGATGAGAGGGTATGCTGTGACTTTTAGGAAATATATCTGTGAAACTATGTCCTTCATTTGAGCTCCTATAGTCTCCAAAAAAATCAGAAAATATGTAATAGAATTCATGAAAGCATCAATGAGAAATAGAAGCCAGATCCAGTTCTTTTGCCATTGTTTGATTTATTGCTTTTGGAGGTTTGGAAAATTAAGGTACACCCTAGGATTACAGTTGGGGGTCTAACAAGCACCTGTACAGAAGAAACTATGAAACCAGAAGATAGAGGAAACCGAACACATTACCTCCACAGAAAGATCTCGGAGCAATGCAAAATTGGAATAATAATCAGAGATTATGGAAAATGATAACATATGTGTTCATATGAAGTTATTTTTAGCTTCACTACCGTCCCAATCATTTGCCAGACAAAGAAAGATAGAAAATTTATAGATAACTAAATGAACGAAAGCAAAAATCCTTTATGTAGCATGTCAAAAACAGAATTCTACTTTACCTCCCATATAATAGCAGTGTAATCCTTTGACCCTGAAGCTAAGTACTGCCCTTTGTTTGAAAACTTTACATACCAAACTTCATCTTTGTGGCCGCATAGAGTCTGCAATATCAAGAAGCGTATTTATGAGCAAGACACCTCAACAATGCATTTTAATTTAAAGATGCAAATAAAACAACCTTGCTGTTGTATTCAGATCATACTTTATTTGACTTAACGCAAGATGATACACCTAATTGAACAAATCTTGCTTCCATATATCGGCATATACGATATTTGCCAATTGCCATTCATATGGAGCTGGAAATGGTACCCATGTTACCATATTGCCATTTATATGTGGGCTAATCCACACTTAGACCACTGCTAATTGTTAAACATAGGAAAATATTATTAGGAAAGCAAAACAGCTGAAAATTTTAAACTTGAGTTGTGCAGTGAATCTGTGACATGATTGCACACAACATTGCCTTTGTTTTGTAATGTGAACAGTTGTTTTTTGAAGGTCAAAAATTGAGAAGGACATAATTTGTTCAAGGACTACTCAATATAGAAATAGGAACTACAGCTGGTTATTATAGTCAAACGCTCAAACTTATTACAAAATTGGGGGAAAATATTTGGTTAGATGCAGCTTTTTGGTGGTAAGTCCTCATATTGAAGTCTTCAACACTCCTCAATCTAGAAGAAAACTTAAATGCTTCTGGTTTTTGTACATTTAATTCAACATTCTACTGCCAAAATTAACAACTTAAGCTCTCTTACTAGACCCATGTTCATTGCATATTGGATAAAAGTTAGCAATAGTCAATGCTAGTGAAGGCGCATCTGAAAAGCAACATAATAATACAATTAAGAAGATTCAGCAGCAGATGACCCTAGCAAGAAGATAAGTTAAAAAAAAAAAAAAATTCAATTCTGTTATATGAATGTAATCAAGAGTTACAACAGCAAAACATGCAAAAACACAGAGACATCAGTGTATGTGTTTGTGTCCAAGTTTAGTGACAACTAAACGTAATCTAAAGCTGAATTTTGAATTGACGATAAAGATCTAAAAAAAAAAATTGACTAGGAACAAAACAAGCAGTAAGTTGAGAGAATTTGATGAAACAATTAATAATTCCCCTGCCCTTAATCAGAAAAAGGAAAGAAAAAGAGGAAGAAAAGAAAACAATTAAAAAAAAAATGAAACCTGATTCACATTTGCCATTTCTGTATAGGGGAAATGCAAATTATCCACCAATCTCTTCATCAACTGCCTAAATTATTATATGACTCTTCATCCCCCCACACCAAAAAGAAAATGAAAAGAAAAAATATTACTCTTCTCTAATCAACAAACAACCAATTTAAGCAATTACCATGCATCTGTACAATACTTTAAATAAATCAAAAACAAGTTCTGATTTTCCAATTTAACTTTTCTAAAAATTAGGCACAGAAAATATGAAACGCAAGCCTGCAGATGCTATAAATTAAGAGAAAATGTACCCACCTGCACTGTCTCTGTAGGGAATTGTTCTTTAGTACAAATATGGTCTTGGTACAGTGAAAATTTGTCAGTCGAGCAGCCATAGACACAAGAATTTCTCATCGAAGACTCAATCAGAGTTACCAACTTCCCTCCAGGCCCCCCAATTGCACGAGAATGCAAATCACTTCGAATACCAGACACTGATTCCAAATCACTTGCTGTGGCAGTATAGCCTAATGAATGGAGTGATTGTATCATGAGTGCTACAAAATCTTCTTTCTTTATCAGGCCTTTTGAACCAATCAACACTTGATTATTGTTGTCCATGGTTTCTTGAGTTTCTTTGTGAAGTTCTTCTCAGACAGCTTGCTTGATTGAAGGATTTGAACAGAATCGCCCGAAGTGAAAACCACAAATGTAAGAGACAAAAATGAAATGACAAAAAAAAAACAATAATACAAAGACAATCTGTGAGACCCAGATGAAGAAAAAGTATTGAATTCAGAGGAAATGGGCTAGAGAGTCAAGGGACCAAGAAATCTTGAAAACCCACGTCAAGAACGGCCACTAAACAAAGAAAAAGTAGACTTGGAGAGAGAGAGAGAGAGACAGATGGATCAGAGGAGGTGTAATGAATAGATTTCCAACAAAATGGAAGAAGTATGAATTAAGTGAAAGAGATGAGTGGTATTCAGAGTATGCCAAGAAGTCTGGGCGTTTTGATCTGATATATATATCTAGAGAGAGAGAGAGAGAGAGAAAGAGCAAAAGGCAGAGCTCTTTAGTATTGAAATCATCTTCAGAACAACGAACTTACCCGCCAACGAATATTGGAAACGAAAAGACGGAAAAACCATTTTTTCTTGGCCAAAATACAACAGCGGCCCCTGAATATAGACCCTTGTTTTGATTAAGCCCTTAAATATTTTTGTTTTTAAATTTTAGCAATTAACTTTTAACGTTGTTCTAGTGTGGCCCTTCTGTGTCATTTGGTCTCATTTATTGACAAAAGTGCCTCACATTCAAAGGGAATCGAGAATAAATTCTTTTCTTACGGTTTCAAATATCTACGTGACATAATTTTATGTGAATCTCATTTTTATTATACTTCCACCATCAATAATTGTCCAAAATAATAAGTTGTAGTTTCAATTGAAAAATCTAATATTTACTTAATTTAAATCTCAAAAGGCACATAACGAATGACTGATAAATTAGATATGAGCATTTAGAGCCAATAGCTAAAGATGTCTTACCAATCCTTCATTTTCTCTAGTTGTTATATAACTGGATAAATTGTATATTTATCAAAAATAATAAGAGTACCCTAGAATTTTTAAATGACCCAATGATTCCTTATTGCTGAAAATTTGAAATAAGAAGACACCCCCGACCGCAAATTTGAACAAAATTATGTCTTTAGGTCCAAGCATTCCAACGTCTCTTCACTCTCTATCACGTGTGCCCCGGAACACAAATACTCATCATCTCCTTCAAATTCAGGCCACTCAAAGGCAAAAATGCTAACCTAGTTATAGTCAACGTTTACAAGACTGGGGATCCTCCCTTTAGTTAAGGAGGTGCCGACCGGTTAGCACTGGGTGTCGGCTGGCAAAAGTGCTGACTGATAGAACAAGGGGAAGCCTTTGGCGAGTGAGTGTCCACTGGCACACACTCTACTTGCTAATAGGTACTCTGTGAAGACTCCTCTTGCTTGCCCGTTACCGTTAGGCGAGTCATATTCGGCTAAGGTTCAACTAATGATCCAGAGTCCTAGTTAAATACTACTCCAAACAAATAGGACCTAATTATAAGGATCTAAGAACAAGAGTCATGATTTAACTCAACCCTGAATATCTAGGAGTTGATGATGAGGTTCATCTTATCACCACATAGAGTTCGTGTTCTTTTGAGACACAACTTCCTATCACTATAAATAAAGGCATCTGGGTACCAAGTAGGGATATTCAACCCTAACATATTCACTCTATACTCTTCTTCGACTTGTTTACTGACTTAAGCATCGGAGTCTCTTTGACCGACCGCTTCCGACTATCGATTCACTTAGCTGTTCTCTTGTCTTGTAGGTTTCTCAAGACTTTCTCACCATTTTCTCTATCCGTACAAGATGATGAATCATAGTGTGAAATTTTCCCCACACATCAAATTTTTATTTTACATTAATAATCTGGGACATTATGTGTGTTTGGGTTTTGAAAAATATTAGAATTGAGTGATTTGGCTTTTGAACCAATATGTGAGGAGGGTGAGGAAAAAGGGAGGTGAGTTTCTGGTTGGGGGTTGAAGTTGCAATAGGTAAGGGTGTTGGAATGAAGGTGGGGTGTAAAGGGGTGGGTTTCAAGTTATTGCGTAGGGTAAGGGTGAGTTGCTCTATAATTTCACTATTGTAGCGAATGTATGCAAACTTTTGGAAAGTGTGGAAGGAAGATTAGGGTGAAAGTAAGCTGAAAATATTCATTACAACGGTGATACCATGTTAGTATTATTCACGTGGTATCATCAATGAATGATATGTAAAAAAATAAGAAAATAGAATCTACACAAATTAATAACTATCCCTCAATATAAGCTAAAGTACTCATTTTCTCTACATATAAGTGAATAACTACATAAGTGGGGTTTACCTTATTCATTTGGTATTTTATTATTGGATGGTGATATCACGTGACAATGCTGACATAATATCATCGTTGGATCAAATATTTACTCAAAAGTAGGGGCTCAAGTATGAAGATAATAGGTCGAAGATGTGAGAGGTAGAGGGGTTCTATTGAGTTTCTCTTGTAGATAATAATTCACGATGGATCCTATTTGAGTCCTTAAACTTATTGATTTTTGGAGAATAATTATCAATGTTCACTAGAAATAAGCCAATCTTTTTATAGTTAAAATCACCTATTTTAAGTCAACGTAATTTTCTTTATTAGTAACGGGAGAAATCGTTGGCCTCCCTGACAAGTAAAGGGGCGTTTATGTTATTCAGGCTCGCGAGTCTGAGTAGAACTGAGAGTAAACTCCAAGTACATGAACTGGTCTTTTAACTTATACACCAGTTAAATTAGGACTTACGATTTAGCAGGGATTTAAACCCACATTAGAGATGTAAAACCCGGGTAAAATTTGAATTTTAATGAAAAAAGGACAAAACAGTAATTAACTGTTACGGTACGAGTTGAAAACTCAAATTTTTATAAAACTTAGATGAGGAAATGGACCACACCATTGGATTCGTCTCGCAAATTCTAGTTACCCAGTTAATTTTCTTTGAATTTCGAAACAGTCGAAATTTCAAATTTTACTAGGTAATCAGCTGTCGCGTGACCCAAATAAATGAGACAGAGAATTAAATTTTAAAAATTAGAAAATAATTTAAAGTTAGTTAAAAAAAAATATTTTGAACTTTAATCGGGACGAAATTTAATTGATTCGGGGCAAAATCAAACCGGAAAAGGCAAACGTGTGTGGCACAACGAGAGTCAAGTGTTTGAGAGGTATAAAAGGGGAAGAAAAATCAGATTTCTTCCCCAATTCTTAGCAGATTTTTGTTGGAGAGGGAAGAGTGGGAAAATGAAGGGTTTCTTCAACTTTTCTCTACGATCTACAGTTCACTATTCGTCAGGGTAAGAATAAAGATTGTTCTACTCAACGTGGACTACAAAATCATACCAAAAATTGAAGATTTTGACGAAGTTCAAAAAGATTTGGAAGAATCAAGGACTAAGGCTTGATTTGGATTTTTAAAGGCTTCTACCACTTGTTTTAAGCTTCAAGAGGTAGAGTTCTTTTTCTAATTATGTTTATTTCCAACTAAGGGTTGATATATGGAATGGGTAGGGTGTTAAAGATGTAATCTCATTTATAGCATATACCTATGGTATTTGAAATGTCGAAAATGAGTATTAAGAATGGTTAAAATCAATTCTAGAATGAATTTGGTATGTCGAAATTACTTGTTTGTAATTTATTGGAAAATATATTGATTGGACATGCTATGTGTTTACAATTATGCCTTGAAGGTGTTTGATGAAATGCCTATGTGGATTAAGTGTGTTATTTGCATTGATTATGTTATAACATGCTTGAGATTTGATGTTGGTATATACATTATGATATATTAACATTGGGGTTGTTGATGGTGGTTATATACTTATGATGTAATTGACTATGGAAAAAGGTTGATGGATATTCAAGTTGTTCATATTGTGCTCATGACATGTTGAACATGATGATGAAATTGTAATTGTACATTATATTTGCATATGCACAGGAAGCATCACATTCATAGGCATTTGACATGAATGTGGATGTGTGTGTACATATTTTTGGATCAAACACTATTCTTGGTGGTAGATGCGTAGACTCGGGAAAGTCGGACCTAAGTACGGGTGAGTTGCACGGTTCCATGAAAAACTTGTATCAATTATAGGAAGAAAGACTAGATTCTCCCTAGGTGTGCAAGACCCAGTTACTAGTTTATACATTTTTGACGGCGCAAGTCCAAAAAGTGTATCAGTGTGCGAAACCGGAGGTGAGACACCAAAATTCGTATACCCAAGAAAGACACATGTTTATTTTATAAAATGGTCATTAGATGTGTAACATCAATAGGGGGGTTTGGAATGCTCGAATTCATTGGCATGACATTCTTGAAAGCTTGGGTTGAGTTGTATGTGTGAGTCTCATCTCATAACATAACATGACATATAGGATCCATTATGAATTGCATATTCTTGAATGAATTATTTGTTACTTGTTGAATAGCATGTGAATATTTCATATGCATCTAGGTTGGGAAGTAGCCTCTTTAGCGTGACTCACCCTTTATGGGGACAATTTTTCAGGTGCAGGATATGCGCCGGTAGACTGCTCTCATTTGGGCCCCCATTGATGAAGAAAAGCTGGGATGAGGTTTTAAAATCATGTTTTGTAAAACAATTATGTAAATTAGTTTTGGACATGTAATTATATGTAAGAGATTATAATTGAACTTGTATGAACTGTGTTTAATGTAAAATTTCATGTTATATGAGTTTGGGTTGATGATGTATGAGATTGGAATGAATTGGAATTGAAAAGGGGAAAAATTGGACACTTCTATCGGTAGAACGTCAAATACCTATCGATAAAACATTTCCACTAGCACTTCTACTGGTAAAATGTCGAGTTTTGCTAGTAGAACATTTTCAATGAATTTTCCTATTAGTAGAACGTTGATTTCCTACCGGTTGAAGAAGTCTTGTGAACTCTTCTACTGGTAGGAATCTGAGTACTTTTACTGGTAGGTTTTGTTAAATTTTCAAAAATTT